TACCATCGTTACACTTCAGTCTTCTTGAGGTATGCAAGCCAGACTCCCTATCCCCCCCCACCACCACCACCAGAACTCTATCACGAATAAATGTCTGTGGTGTTTAATACATAAGCTTAACTATTGTTTTTTTTTGGGGGGGGGGGGGGGGGGGTGGGTTTGTACTTGCAATACTCTTACACGAGCTACGAACCAGTGAAACTAGAACACGGCTGCTAATCCGCTGCTGTTGTTGTCATCATTGCCGGTTGTGTGGAAAGACGCCACTGCCGATGGCCTCCACGATGCGTGAGTGGCATTCACTCGCCCTCTCTCTCTCTCGTTATCTCTACCGCATTGGTTGCACTTGCAACTTGATGTTTTTGAAGGAAGGTGGTTGCCCGTTGAGACTTGAATTGTGTTCGAGGTCGGCTCTCTGTCTCCAATCTTGGAGAGACGTGCGTTTTCGAGCTGAGCCACGCCGAGGCCAACGCTTGAACGCCGAATCCAGCGCTAATGATGACCCCCCCACCACTGCTTCCCGTGCCAAATGTCACACCGCTTCGCGCAGTGAGGCTGCGTCGACTGTCTCGCGTTTATATGCGGAGACGCCACGTGTATGCACAATCACATTGTACATTTTTTTGTAATAGTCACTCCTTATATTCGGTGCATTATTATTATTGCATCGGTAGGTGGAGCGGTGGTGTGAATGTGGCCGTATGTATGTTGAACTTCTTTGGGCGCTGTACGCAGTCAACCGTGCTAATTGGTGGTACGGGAGGGAGGGGGTGAACAAACTAAACGCAAAAGGCAGTGCTAAAGAAACGAGTTTGTCAATCGAGACGATTATGATGATTTAAAAGTGCACAGCTCCCAGTGGGCTTCCGAATTTCGGAAGGAAAGAGCGTTCCAGACGGACGCAGAAGCGCATCTGAAAGCGCCGCGCGACGATGCGACCACCGCCGCCGCCGCCTCTGTGAGCAGCAAGAAGCCGCTGCTGTTGCTGGGAAATACGACGGGAGAACATTCCTGACCACGGTGAACTTAAGCGGTGACTCCCCGAACTGGTCCTGAAGCGTGGTCAAACGAGCCTCGTGACTGTCATGCCCACGTGGAGGCTTTCATCCAACATTAGATTGACAAATGTCCCTATAAATTTTGATTTAAAGCTTTCGTGACTGCAGTAATTCATATTTTTAGCTCTTTCGGTAAAGGCACGTTTTATATATTTTATTATTTTATTGTTTCCCTTCAACGTGACTTTACCGAAAGAGCTAAGAATAACAGGTCCCTGCAGGGTGGGCTGGTAGGAACATTGGAATTTTTGCGCAATTTTATTTTTACACCCCAACAGCACGAGATTTCACTTCGTTAAAGCATTGAAAGGGGACGGACGGACGGACACATTAATCTATTGCAGGCTGGTACACTCAGTTTACAACTTCGTTCCTACCAGTATAAATGTCCCTATGTTGTTATTATTGTTTTGACAGTAAAAGCCGAATATAAGCAGTCTCCCTTGAGCGTATGTCCGAGTTGTGTGCTTATATCAGAAGCTCCCCTCCCCCACCAACCAGTGTTCTATAAACGCGTGCGGTACAGAGTTGCGTCGCGAACATCAGAATCGCCCTTGCATCTAACTGCACGGTGTGCTACGAATCCAGCTTCACGATCCCACAATGCGCGCAAACAGCACGAGGCTTTTGGGGGGGGGCGGGAGGGCCACGTTCAAGCTGTCGATGCGTCACGTGACGGGGGGGGTATAATACCCATTACGGGGGGGGTATAATACCCATTACAGGGGGGGTATAATACCCATTACAGGGGGGGTATAATACCCATTACAGGGGGGGTATAATACCCATTACGGGGGGGTATAATACCCATTACAGGGGGGGGGGGGGTAATACCCATTACAGGGGGGTATAATACCCATTACAGGGGGGGGTATAATACCCATTACAGGGGGGGGTATAATACCCATTACAGGGGGGGTATAATACCCATTACAGGGGGGGTATAATACCCATTACGGGGGGGTATAATACCCATTACAGGGGGGGGTATAATGCCCATTACAGGGGGGGTATACTACCCATTACAGGGGGGGTATAATACCCATTACAGGGGGGGTATACTACCCATTACAGGGGGGGTATACTACCCATTACAGGGGGGGTATACTACCCATTACAGGGGGGGTATAATACCCATTACGGGGGGGTATAATACCCATTACGGGGGGGTATAATACCCATTACAGGGGGGGTATAATACCCATTACAGAGGGGTATAATACCCATTACAGGGGGGGGGGGGTAATACCCATTACAGGGGGGTATAATACCCATTACAGGGGGGGTATAATACCCATTACGGGGGGGGGGGTATAATACCCATTACAGGGGGGGGGGGTAATACCCATTACAGGGGGGTATAATACCCATTACAGGGGGGGGTATAATGCCCATTACAGAGGGGTATAATACCCATTACGGGGGGGGGGTATAATACCCATTACGGGGGGGTATAATACCCATTACAGGGGGGGTATAATACCCATTACAGGGGGGGGGTATAATACCCATTACAGGGGGGGTATAATTCCCATTACAGGGGGGGGGTATAATACCCATTACAGGGGGGGTATAATACCCATTACAGGGGGGGTATAATACCCATTACGGGGGGGGTATAATACCCATTACGGGGGGGGTATAATACCCATTACGGGGGGGTATAATACCCATTACAGGGGGGGTATAATACCCATTACGGGGGGGGTATAATACCCATTACAGGGGGGGTATAATACCCATTACAGGGGGGGGGTATAATACCCATTACAGGGGGGGTATAATTCCCATTACAGGGGGGGGGTATAATACCCATTACAGGGGGGGTATAATACCCATTACAGGGGGGGTATAATACCCATTACAGGGGGGGTATAATACCCATTACGGGGGGGGTATAATACCCATTACGGGGGGGTATAATACCCATTACAGGGGGGGGTATAATACCCATTACGGGGGGGGGTATAATACCCATTACGGGGGGGGTATAATACCCATTACGGGGGGGTATAATACCCATTACAGGGGGGGGGTATAATACCCATTACAGGGGGGGTATAATTCCCATTACAGGGGGGGGGGGTATAATACCCATTATAGGGGGGGTATAATACCCATTACAGGGGGGGTATAATACCCATTACGGGGGGGGGTATAATACCCATTACGGGGGGGGGTATAATACCCATTACGGGGGGGTATAATACCCATTACAGGGGGGGTATAATACCCATTACAGGGGGGGTATAATACCCATTAGAGGGGGGTATAATACCCATTAGAGGGGGGGTATAATCCCCATTACAGGGGGGGTATAATACCCATTACGGGGGGGTATACTACCCATTACAGGGGGGCGGGTATAATACCCATTACAGGGGGGGTATAATACCCATTACAGGGGGGGTATAATACCCATTACAGGGGGGGTATAATACCCATTAGAGGGGGGGGTATAATACCCATTACAGGGGGGGTATAATACCCATTACAGAGGGGGTATAATACCCATTACAGAGGGGGTATAATACCCATTACAGGGGGGGTATAATACCCATTACAGGGGGGTATACTACCCATTACAGGGGGGCGGGTATAATACCAATACAGGGGGGGTATAATACCCATTAGAGGGGGGGTATAATACCCATTACGGGGGGGGTATAATACCCATTACGGGGGGAGGTATAATCCCCATTACAGGGGGGGTATAATACCCATTACAGGGGGGGTATAATACCCATTACAGAGGGGGTATAATACCCATTACAGGGGGGGTATAATACCCATTACAGGGGGGTATACTACCCATTACAGGGGGGCGGGTATAATACCAATTACAGGGGGGGGGTATAATACCCATTACAGGGGGGGTATAATACCCATTACAGAGGGGGTATAATACCCATTACAGGGGGGGTATAATACCCATTACAGGGGGGTATACTACCCATTACAGGGGGGCGGGTATAATACCAATTACAGGGGGGGGTATAATACCCATTACAGGGGGGGTATAATACCCATTACAGGGGGGGTATAATACCCATTACAGGGGGGGGGTATAATACCCATTACAGGGGGGGTATAATACCCATTACAGGGGGGGTTGATTATTCACACGCGCGGCTGTCCCCTCCGCTCCCAGCTGATCCCGTCACCCGCTGCCCCCCCCCGCCCCCGCCCCCGCCTAACTCTACCCCCCCCCCTGCCTCCTCCTCCCCCCCCCCCCGACTTCAAGACAACATTTTCCTGACCGCCTAACACCCCCCATGCTCGCAAACTTCACGATATAACGAAGCACCCCGCAACGCGCGCCGCCTGCCTCTTCCTGCACAGCTCCTCACCCCCAACTCACCTCCTCCTCTCCTCCCCTCCCCTCCGCGGTGTTTACTTTCATCACCCCGAACGAAGGAGCGAGCGAGCAGAGAGCGCTAAAGCCGGTGGGATTTGCACGTCTCTAACCCGCTAATAACAACCGTGGCGGGGGTAGGGGGGGGGAATATTTGCATGCAAGCGGCGTGCGATAATTGTTCAGCTTAAACGTGTCCAAGAAGAAAAAGACGACAACACCAACAACAACAAAAATCACAAAGCGCTCCGTTTTGAAAGTTTGCTCCACCGCTGCGCGTAAGGATCACAGCGGCAGCTGTCCATCTTCGCTGCGTGCACGGGTATCCTGTGATGAGCAGCAGCCTTTTGTCAACCAACTTCTGAACGGTGGCTTGCCCGTGCCTTTTTGTTTGTTTGGCCACTGCCATTGATTGACGGCACTTGAAGGTCGGGACGGCCGTGGAAGTCGAATCGGATATCACGAGCCACTGATGTCAGCCGTGGCCAGAAAATCGGATTCAGGCGATGAGATTCAGAGGTCCCAGGCACTGCCGCCATCACTGCTTGCCCCCATTCTGAATAAGACGTCAAGAAATCAACAATGCGTTTTCTTTCCAGTACGGTTTATTGAAAAAAACCCTCCATCCATTTAGAAAGTAAACTGTTGACTATTATAATGGTAAATTCTTAAGCGGCAAAACAAAGGTCACAAAATGAATGTCGAAAGGGAAATGTTTCGCAAACGAATGAATGATGCTCGTTACGTATGCAGAGGATCCTTCTCCTGTGCCACAATGAAAATTAATTAGTGATATTCAGAGTGTGCACGGCAAAGGGATCGACTTATATGTGGCACCGTGGCATTGCCTTCGCATGGACACGGGAGTGGCAGTGCGTTGCAAAATGGTTATTGCAATTCAACGTTCCCTTCGGTGGAAATAACTGCGGTGTGTGGAAGATAAACTGTAGACATCTGCCCTCTGCAGGATTCACTCAGCAAAGGCCTCGGATTGAGTTAAATTCATCGGTGGAGAAAAATCGGCTCCCTCCCTCTCTCTCATCAACATGCAAACATATCCTAACTCCTGCCTGGATGTTGTTGCCAGTGCGATGTGACTCCTATAAATAAATAGGTCACTTATTTTCTCAAATCTGGACCTGAAAAATAGTTTTTCAGCCCACATTCTAGTTGACGCAGCAACATTGTCCTAACTGGGTCATCGTGGTCACAGAAGCTCGCACTTTAAATATTGAAACGCAGACGTCTGAGGCGTTTGTGTTTAGCGTTGCACCGGCCGTGTGTTTGCGGTGGCTCTGATGTCCGATATTTTTGGCCCAGCTGCTGGGAACGTCTTCAGAAACGTTGCAACTTAAGTGTTGCAGTTTAGTTCCCGATGAAGCTCCCAGCACGTTTGGTGCGAAACGTCGGACGTCGTGCCGAGCAACACGCGCGTACGGTCCCCAGAAGCGCATCGGAGCGGCATTTCCAATGTCGTGTTTAGATTTCTTGCAGGCTTGTTGAGCAGTTCTCTCGTCGTAGCGAGGAACCAATGTAACCAACATCACTTCATGTACTCACATATTGGCCGTTTATGTTTAGAACGATCTGTTCGTGGAGATAAGAGGTATCGGAGGGCGATACATCACAACCGCGGGAAACCTACGCCGTAGTATTAAAAATCTACGCAGTGGTATTTAAACACAGGTAAAACAGAATAAACAACTTCTGTTTTACACTTTTGGCCTCGTAACGTCGATCTTCAAAATCTCCAATATAGAGACACAAAATCTCCACTACGTGTTGGTACAGCTGAGAACACTCAAACCTCATTTCCTTAGAACTGCTTTTTGCGTTTAGTTTGTTGTGCTTCCCCCACACCTACGATTAGCATGGTTGGCTACGTACAGTGCAAAAGAAGTTCAACATACTTAAAAATATATACGAAAATCAGTTTGTTCATTCCCTCTCTCCCCCTTAAATTTTATCCCGATTGTGCTATCGGCATCACGTCACGAGATGAAAAAACCCATTAAAATCTCTCGCAGCGCAGTGCAACTACGACGCCGTGTCAGATTGAGGCCCGCAGAATTGGATATTACAGAGCTACCTCAGATCCCTGCCCACTAGAGAGCGGCACATTCCTACGGACTCTCTCTATGCCAGCAATGCTGTTCTCGTGACAATCCAACCAATATTGTAATGAGCAGAGCGGGAAGTTTAGCCGAGTAACGTGAGAAAATGAATCCCCCCAAAATTCGTTGCAACGAACTTGGGGCTTCACGGCCCGGCTTAATCGGCGGTGCCGGCTTCAGTGCTCTTGACCTCTGAGGCGACCCAGCCGGGCCTCTCGCTTGCACCCGCAGCTAACCGAGGGCACACGGAAGGGCGGTCGGAGGCCTGGCTGGTGCGCTGTGGACGGGCCTCCGGCTGACGAGTGTCGCAGGCTCAACCCAACGTGGGGGGGGGGGGGGGGGGGGAGCCCTCAAAGTTCGTCCTTGTCCTCGCCCTCGCAGTAGCACGACGCACGCTGGCTGTTGAGGAAGGACTTGCACCCGAAGCTCGTCACCGTCTTGTACAGGAGCTCGGCCCCCGTCTCGCAGGCTGAGGGGCAAACATGGGAAGAAGGGAAATAAAAAAACAAGCCAGCCTCGTGTAAGACAAAATCGCACTTCCCCCCTCCCCCCCCCCCAAAGACAAAGACCCCCCGTGTAGCCTTAATAGACTGTTGGGGCAAGTGCTGTTAGCGAGCACCTATGAAGGCCGGAACGGCACACGAGGGGGTGGGTGGCCAGCACCACGCCCGGCCGCCTTTGTCTCCCCAGTGGCGATGTTTACACACCGCACCAGGTACTCATTTGAGGCTGAGTCGACCCAGGGGTGGTCCAGGACCGATTCAGATAATCGTCACCGGTGTTGGGCGTGAGTGGGAATCGAACTGGGGTCTCCGAGTTCGTAGCGCAGCGTAGCGCTAAACGCTCCACTATCACCCCCCCGCACACGCACACACACACACCCACGCACACACACACGCACACACGCACACACACACACACACGCACACACACACACACGCACACACACACACACGCACGCACACACACACACGCACACACGCACGCACACACGCACGCACACACACACACGCCCCAAGCAACAGCGGTGCGATGCAATATAATATGACACCATCATCATTATCATCGTCAACATCGGCACATTTCTGGTCGTTGCATTGGCAGGCTTTGACCTTTGCTCGCTTGTTATCCTGATACCGGCGTTCGTTATTCTACCGCAGGTGCAATCAACGTGATCTCACTGCTCCTCTTCTTGTTCTTCGTACGTCCGTTCACTCGCTTGATTGACATTCTGTCATTATGTTTATCCGATTGTTGTCCCTTCCATTTGCAGCAAAGTCGCACAACATTCCTTTGCTTTTATCTCACGGATGGCTCTGATTCTGCGATGGCTCTGATTCTTGTTTGCCCTCTAATCGACATCTATTCGTGGCTGAACATCAGGCAGTTTGACTGTGAAATATATATATATATCACAGCCCTAATGGTAAAACATTAACTTTGTAACTTCACTCCACAAAATAACTTAGTGGTGCATCACTGTCACGTAATTAGTGCATCTAAAAATGCAAGTATCATCATGACTCGTGTAGACACTACTAATATGTCATTGTTATCAATGTTATTATCAAGCCGGATGGCGTAGTGGCATAATGCGCTGCTCACGATCAAAAGTCCTGCAGGTCACGCATCTCTCTGGAATTTGTAACATTTGAGTTTCACTTCACGAGGAAGTCATGGGTCGTCGTCCATTGCATATGGTTTGCCTCCGACATAGGAACGTGGAGTTTCCATCACTGGCTCATGGGTTAAGTTGAGAGATGAGCACTGCCCCGTGCTCAAATGAATGGGAAACAACTTTAACTTGTCTTCGATGATTGAGGTAGCTTGCATTTAATAATAGCAATTATGTTTTAATTACTATAATGTACAGCCCAGTGTTTGGTCGATAGGGGTTGCTTCACCATACTTCACCATGCCAGTTAATGCGAGTTGGTGACCTGTGGGTGGGGTGCCATGGACCAGTTCTGCGATCACTCTCCACCGTGACAGGGAGTCGAACTTGGGTGGACGGTTTTCGAGCCCAGTGCGTGTGTGAACCACTGTGAACCACTGTGAACCACTGCGTGCCAAATCAACCAACCGACCGACCACCACCACCTGGACGTGAAATTGTAGTCGTTGCCCTGCATCTACATCGGCCGTACGAAATAAAGAAAGAAGATGATGAAGCTGTATACCTGCCCACCGTTCGCCCTCCGCCGAACGGCGCGAGAAAGAGAGCTCATCAATTTTTACGCAGCGACAGCAACAACAATAAACAACGACGACGACAATCCGGCTCTTGTCGGGCGAACGCACCGTCGATTTTGGAGATAAATCCGAGGGTCTTGCGCAGGTCTGTGCAGATGGAGGAGAGGCAGATGCGGAAGCGAGCGTCGCACACGTTCTTGCTGGCCCCGCACGACTCGTAGCAGATGTCCAGCTGATTGCAGCACTTGGTCATGGCCGGGATGCCAAGGTCCAGCTGCAAGACGGCGCATTTGGTGGTGGGGGTTGGGGAAGATCAGCCGGCGCTTGACATCGGAGCCTCCGTGGGCGCTAAACAATTCGCTCGTAAGGGGGGCAATTTTCTAAGGGGGGCAGATTGGGGGGTGGGGTGTGAGGGTGTTTGCCGCCGCGTTAAAGGGAAAAAATATAAAATTCCTGAAAATCGCCTTGTTGCACCGCAAATGCTACTTCCGGCGCCATCGGCGTTCAACAATGCCGGTAATTCCTGACAATGGCTCCGCACATTATTTTGTGCGGTGCGCTGCGCTTGACATGGTCTGGGGCCCAGCCCTCTCGTGCCGATGAGTTTATTTCCCAACAGGCAATGGGCCAATTTCCCGAGCTGATCCCATGAAAATCACTCACTCCTGTCGTAAAAAGCCCGTGGTTTGTCAAGGTGCGCTTCGCCACACACCCCCCGCCGCCACCACCCACCATACGCTCCCTGCTCCTTAAGAACCCTGGCGGATTGCACGGATGCAGGCGGCGCACGCGATTGTCTCACGATTACAAAGGAGCTGTGTAACATTTTTCTCTTCTTGTTTTCTCGCTCGTTTGTTTGCTTTTTTTTTCACTCGCCGAATTGAGATGAACCGCGAGGTCATCGTGCGGCACGTAATGTAAGGTGTTCATCACCCGGTGGGAAGTGCTGCCGAGATACTATGGTAATAAATTACTTGAAGCCCTCACAGGGATCTCATCGCCCAGCAACCCCATACTCCCTCAACCCACACATCCACACTCCTCAGTGGCACACACCTATCTGTTATATATATTTTTTTAAATGCGAATCACGTCACTTGGTCTATTGCAAATACCAGATTAGATGAGCAGGGCCGGGGTCGATGAGGCTAGTTAGATCAAAGGTGAAGAGAGAATACAATGTGACCACGTTTGCATAAACTACGTACCATTATGCAATGGGAGACTTCGTTCACTGAAATCGGCGCAGAGGTTTAAGAGTACAGTATCTCCAATTTTTGGCACATTGCCTGTTGGGAAACAGGTGGAGGACTTCTCCACAAATCTGGCTGTTGCCTGATGAAGCTAGTTGTAATTACTGGCGAAACGTCGTACTCGGATTGTAAATGTTTTGGCTTGGCTCTCCAACACGCCGGTGTGCTGTACTAGTGACGAATTGGCATGTTCTGTGTACGTGACAACCCTTACAAGTCAGCTGTGGTGGGCTTAACGACACATTTATATATTTACGCGACCTAACCCAAAACACCTCTATTATAGAGGTCTAAGAGTTTGCCTGTCAAACGTACATCCTTGCAGCGCTGCCTTTGGTCAAATCGCCTACCATCAAAACCCCCAAAATCCACAAATCTGCCCATCGCCGGCTCCATCGTCGGTCTCTCAAATAATTTCAAAATCCTGGCCATCGACAACCCTCCCCCCCGTGCTCAGCGCATTAAAGGCACGGCGATCACCACCTCGGGGCCTTGCCACGCGTCCTCCCAATTTTGACCGATACGGAGACCGCAAACAGCGCTCGGGCTTTTTGCGGCACTGGCAGCACTCGCCAGGATTGCCGCAGCGTCGGGTCACCCCTCGCTCGGACAGCAGAACGTCGCCTCGACGAACCACAGCGGATCTACAAAACCAAACCTGTCCTGGCTAGGCAATTTAGGCCACGTAACTCCCGTTGCTCCGCTAAAAAAGACGTCGCTATCATGTGCCACCGAGCTCTCTCTCTCCAGGTTCTCCCACCGTACCTCTCTCCCCCACCCTTCTTGCACATCTAACAATCTGCTCATCGCACACCCAAGAACCAGGACTGTCCTGGATGAGTGGAATTTCTCCGTGGCTACATCGGCTGCCACCTGGAATCCTCTACCACTGCACACACGCGCAGACAGTGCCACCAGCAGGCAGTGGCAGCAGCAGCGGCAGCAGCAGCATCCAAGCACTCTTCACTTTCAAGCAGCAGAGCTAGGCTCACCATCCAGGCTCTCGCCTGCTTCATGCTCTAACCTGTCCAGACTCTCACCTGGTTCAGGCTCTAACTGTCCAGACTCTCACCTGGTTCAGGCTCTAACCTGTCCAGACTCTCACCTGGTTCAGGCTCTAACCTCTCCAGACTCTCACCTGGTTCAGGCTCTAACCTGTCCAGGCACTCACCTGGTTCAGGCTCTAATCTGGCCAGACTCTCACCTGGTTCAGGCTCTAATCTGTCCAGACTCTCACTTGGTTCAGGCTCTAATCTGGCCAGACTCTCACCTGGTTCAAGCTCTAACCTGTCCAGACTCTCACCTGGTTCATGCTCTAACCTGTCCAGGCGCTCACCTGGTTCAGGCTCTAATCTGTCCAGGCTCTCACCTGGTTCAGGCTATAATCTCTCCAGGCTCTCACCTGGTTCAGGCTCTAACCTCTCCAGACTCTCACCTGTTCAGGCTCTAACCTGGCCAGACTCTCACCTGGTTCAGGCTCTAACCTCTCCAGACTCTCACTTGGTTCAGGCTCTAACCTGTCCAGGCGCTCACCTGGTTCAGGCTCTAACTGTCCAGACTCTCACCTGGTTCAGGCTCTAACCTGTCCAGGCGCTCACCTGGTTCAGGCTCTAACCTCTCCAGACTCTCACCTGGTTCAGGCTCTAACCTGTCCAGGCGCTCACCTGGTTCAGGCTCTAACCTGTCCAGGCGCTCACCTGTTCAGGCTCTAATCTGTCCAGGCTCTCACCTGGTTCAGGCTCTAATCTCTCCAGGCGCTCACCTGGTTCAGGCTCTAATCTGTCCTATGTTAAATGCTAGGATATAGCTAGATATTAAAAGCACCTGTTTGAAATTTATAAAAACGACGAAAAAGTGAATTATATATCTACGTTTTGTAACTTCATAAATGTTTTCCTGGAGGTGTATTTATTTTCCTAAATAGCTCTGATTGGCTGAATTGTCACGATTCAGGTTCACATATAGATTAAAGGAATCCACTATTTCTTAACATCATGGTGACTGACAGTACCATTGGCTGTCTACAGAGCTCACCGTGAATCTCTAACTTGCAACTTACACCAATCTACAAATATCAAATTGATACACCATCACCAACGATCAGCATCCCGCACAATCGATTATAACGATTGGCTACGTACGGTGTGAAAGCAGCGTTTGTGGGTTCGATCGCGTCCCTGACGACTGCTTTATATTTGGAGTTTGCATGTTCTCCTGGTGGTTGCGTGGATTTTTCTCCGGGTCCTCTGGATTTTCCCTCCACATTTAGAATCAACAACACGCGTTTAGATTATTTGGCTGCTATTCGTTTCCACGTGATCAGCCACTTCGTTGAGCTATCATTTGTGGCCAGGTCGCTTCTGAAAAAGAGCTACATAGCTCAGTGGGCCTTACCTGGTAAAAAAAAAAATAATTAAGTTTAGTACATACGTCATACCTATACCATTGACTTTATGCTCATTTTATGGTGCGAATGAAACTGTGTAGTTCCCTATGAAGCCTGTTAAGTCGTCCTGAGGCCCATGTCAACAGCTGTTCCTTCTCAAAAAATTCTAAGTGCTGCTTCAGGTTAACGCGTTGTGAAAAGTTCGCGCATTCGTGTTTGGTGTTCTGAGAAGTGCCGATATCGCATGCCGTCATATAGCAGCCCATTCCAACCACTGCTCTCAATAAAATGCTTGGCAGCGGAAACGTTAAGCCAATCTTAAATTCTCTGCTTGGGGAGGCCTTCATGCTGCAGTGTTATTGTTCACCCCTGTTGATGACGATGACTTAAGAGACACATTGATAACAACTATTTTTTTTTTGGTGCATGCTCTCTCGAGTTTTACAGCGGCTTTTTTCATACGTGGCTTCAAACACCGCATGACCGCTTCGTGTCGGTAACGTTGCGTTATCGCTCAGCGACATGTTGACCCTGGGCTGTATTAAAATCTGCCTTCAGCACACAATCTGAACTTACAGCCAAGGGAGACTTTGCTCTCGGTCAAGGCAGGGTGACGCTGTCAGCTCATGCAGAAAATAAGATTACCCCTCGGTAAACTCGGCCATAATCCTCAACAAACAGCGGACAAACATTTACGGCGCATGTCACCGCATTTTTTCACATCTTCAGGCACATGCTAGCTCAAAGGAAGAACACCCCCCCCCCACTGACCCAATACATTGCAACAACAAAAAATCAATTGCCATCAAGCTCATACGTAACAAGACCCACTGTTGGGGTTACACATTCAATGTTGTTTTAAAAAAATGGTTACCAATTACAGCTATATGACTACAACACCAAAATAACACGGAAATCGATACAAAGAGGAAGGGATGCCGCGCGCCAAAGAGCTTCGCTCCCCCCCCCCCCCCCCCCCCCCCCCCGGGGCGGACAACAACCTACCCCGTCCAACGCCTGCACCCCCATCAACAACTTACCCCGTCCAACGCCTGCACCCCCATCAACAACTTACCCCGTCCAACGCCTGCACCCCCATCAACAACTTACCCCGTCCAACGCCTGCACCCCCATCAACAACTTACCCCGTCCAACGCCTGCACCCCCATCAACAACTTACCCCGTCCAACGCCTGCACCCCCATCAACAACTTACCCCGTCCAACGCCTGCACCCCCATCAACAACTTACCCCGTCCAACGCCTGCACCCCCATCAACAACTTACCCCGTCCAACGCCTGCACCCCCATGAGCGAAGTTCCGCAGCCGTTGGGCAGCGCCGCCTTGTAGTCCTTCCTTGGCACAGGGACGGCTCCTGGAACCCCTGACGAGAGGGCTGTGTTAGCAACGCGAGTCCGCCGCGAAGGTATTCGCACGGCTATTGCCAAACGCGAACGTATTGCTCGGTTGTCACTAGGTCTGTCAACAACGTGTAGTGGTACTGCCTGTGAAATTGCAGTTGTTGCTCTGCGTCGACATCGGTCACACGAAAGAAGAAGCGTCACTACCTTTTACCGCAATACAATTCACACAGACAATACAGATCTCGGCGCAATTCCAAATCTGCCAGGCCGAACACAGACGCCAATTCCCCGGGGTAAATCCCGGACAGCCGGTAACCCCACCAGCTGTGTGCAGCTCTACCAATGTTTTTTAATTGTTCCAAGTGTTTATTCCACTTGATGCATGACATTTTCATGAGGTTCTAAAGAAGCTCCCGGCACGCGGAGCCAAAAACGCTGGGGACATCACGCCCCGTACAAGTATCAACCTGCCGGCGCATCGGAAAGCCATTTCCGACGTCGCGTTTAGGCCATGGGCTCGTTAGGCAGCTGTCTCGTATTAGCGAGGAACCTATGTGAGCAACGTGACTTCATGTCGTCACTTTGTTGACCATTAGGATCGATCTGTTCGCGGAGACACGCAGGTTTGTATGCCAAAACTCAGAAACACATTGTGGTCCAGCTGAACTCCATTGTGGTTTCACAATCATTAGCAAGCGCGGCAGTGAGAGAGAGACAGGGGGCAGAAGTGTTTGTGTTTTGACAAGAAGGGCCTTCCATAAAAACGTTTTGTTTGAAACTAAACTATTTTTTTTTATTTTACCAGGTAAGGCCCACTGACCTATATAGCTCTGTCTCAGAAGCGAACGGTCTATCTGAAATGATAGCTCAACGAAGTGGCTTATCACGTGGAAATTTATAGCAGCCAAATATTCTAAATGCGTGTTGTCGATTCCAAATGTGGAGGGGAAAACCGGAGGACCCGGAGAAAAATCCACGCAACCACGGGGAGGGAGCCATGCAAACGCCAAATATACAGGCGTCAGGGTCGGGATGGAATGCACGAACTCCTGTATGCCAGGCGAGGTAGATAACATCTTGCCACCGTGAAAATGAGGGAACACCTCTACATTTATACCGTTTGGGAAAAGAGAGATTGGGTGTTTAGAGTGTCAAACGTGGAAATAAAAAAAATGAATCTAAAATTAATAAAAGCTATTTGTTAATCCACCGCTGGATAAAGGTATCTTCATGCCGTGTAGGTCATGGGGTGGCCGTGTAGGTCGTGCGGGGGATGGGGATTTTAACCATACATGTCGGGTGGGCGGTGGGGAAGGTTCAGATACCACTCCCGAAGGGCATTATCTGGCGTTGAAGGTTGGTACACTCTGTGGGATTTGCGGGCCCAATTAAAGCAATTATTTCACTGATTGGGAAAAGGCACTAATGATAACATAACAGCGTCTGTACACTACCCTTGGCAGTTTTTGTCAGATCACAGACGCAATATACTGAGTGTCTGGACCACATTTGTTTGGACACGAACAAACATTGTGTCGTGGCACAAAAAGTACTTACGCAGTAATTTTTGTTTCTATTTTACAAGGTAGTTTTTACTATTCACATGCAACCATCCTGTTAAAATTACCTCATTATATTTTGTGTTATTCATTCGTTTTCAACAGTTGTAGATTACAAAACAATTACGTAGTTTCTATACGGGGTTAATTATCTGGAGGACACATTTGTTAAAAATGGAATCCTTTCACAAATATGTACCATCCATTGCCAGATAATATAACTTTGTTTTTGTAACAATTATTGGCTTGCACATTGCCGAAAATGAAAACGTACACATTATAGCAAAGGCAGTGCATGCAATTATATTTCATATTCAGAAGACTTTCAAGTAAAAGTAAAATTGTTCATTTCCAGATTGGGCGGGGTAAGGGTGGTGACAGCGTTGTTTATGAATTTATTAGTAAAACTATTGATCTCGGATCCCGGTTTATACTTTGGGGTGCGAGATTCCCTTTCTGGGGGTGCGAGACATGGCCAGATTTTTTTAGAAGGCGAACCATCGAAAACACAAATTAAGCATGGGCACGTTAGCGCAACGACTTTTTTTTTAAGCGAACCCAATATATTTGTTACTTTTTTACGCTTGAGAACCAAGGGGATGAAAGACTACAGTAAATATTAAGAACCACTGCTCTAGGAAATCCCTTGAGATGCCACATCACGTGTGCAAGGGATGTCCAGGGTGTCACGTCATTCGTGAACACCAAACGTCGTTCTGCACGCTGCACTATGATCCCAGCGACCCCAGCTTGATTTCTGTCCGTGGCTAACGGACGTGGGTGTTGAGTGAACCAGCTCCTGTGTCTTATGCATGCTCTGTGTGTTGAACTTCTTTCGAAACCGTACGTAGCCAACCGTGCTAATCGGAGGTGCGGGGGAAGGACAACAAACTAAACACAAACATCAGTTCGAAGGAAGTTCGTTTTCAATCTGCCATTCACCAACCAGCACTGACCAGCGTTGTGAAGAAGTATGGTCAATCCCTATAAAGAAACCGTGTGGGGAAGACTTTAATCCAGCGCTGAGTTGACAAAGGGCTGTAAACTATTAACCATTAATCCAGAACGTACGTGTCACTAGCACAACACCTTTGTTTAAATGCCTGTGAGAACCAAATATTAGTTTTGCTGACAAATGTGGTTTGATTGAATTGATCATGTTTCACAGAAAAATTGTACAACTTCATGCCATACAGAATATTAATGTATCTAGTTTTTCAGCGGCAGTCGATACATTTCTAATGTATGGGAAGCCAAAATCCAACTACATTGTTAAGATAAAATGTAACAAAAAATATGTATAATTTTTTTTTTCCTGAAAGCTCATTTGCAAAGGACAGCTAATTGCTCCGTTCCATTGCCCTGGCATTGTTTGCCGGGCTACGAACGCAATGTCTTTCTAGATTTGTGTCAACATAGATCGGTAACGTGAACCCAGCGAGTGACCTTGTTCAAAAGAGGGGGCATGCAAAACTCGGCGAGCAGGGGCTAGTGTGCACGACACAGTCGATATTAAAGCAAACTCCCTACAAATGGAAAAAAAAGTTAAATAATGCTGGACGATATAATCCGTTTTTGTCTATCACACTATGTACGTATACTCTTTGGTTCTTTCGGTAAAGTCACGTAGGTAGAAAAATAATGATCTATTTATTTATTTAACCCGCCTGGGTACGACCGCTTGTGTTGCGATCGAAACGTCGTGATATATTATTTTTTGTTTCATTTTTATGCCTACGTGGACTTTGCCGAAAGAACCAAAGAGTATGGATTCCTGCAGTCACGAAAGCTTCAAATCAATGTGTACGTATGTTGGGGCTTATTTCGCACCGTACGTAGCCAAACCATTGTTTGCTTCTTGTGTTTAGTTTTGGTGTCCATCACCCGCAACTCCGATTAGCACGGTTGGCTACGTACGGTGCTAAAGAAGTTCAACAAACGTACCTACGTACAATGCTAATGTATACGCGAAAAGGCTGCCAATGGGTGTACCAACGTTTTGTGACTTGACCATGAGATTAAGGACGGGGGGGGGGGCTTAGTTCCAACTCGGCACTCCCATGCCGAGGATGCCATGGTCGCGAGATGTTAACTCCCTCTCTTGGTATACAGGACATCGTGGGGTTCGATCCCTACTCTGACGCCTGTATATTTTGGAGTTTGCAAATCTCTTTCTCCCCCCGTGGTCGCGTGGACTTTCCTCCGGCTCCTCCACACGGTAGGGCCAGGAGAGTTATTTAGCAGCCCGTTGGGCCCTTACCTGGTAAAATAATAATAAAAAAGAAGTTCAATTTATTGAACCGAGTTGCCAATGTCGGTTTGCGCGGGTTTACTGACCATGCTTGCAGCGGTACTGGCACTCCCCGTTGTAGCCACCGAAGAATTCCACCATGGACTCGAGATAGTTGTCGACCTTCTCGATCCCGCGCCGCAGATTCTGCACGTTGAGGCCCCAGCCCTCGGGCTCCTCCACCACGTTCGTTGCTGCCACCAAGGTTGAGATTAGCAGCAGCAGCGCAGCCAAGCAGGGCGCGGATCTTGTTGGGCACAGCGTCATGGTCGCGATGTGTCCCTCTCTCTCTCTCTGTGACGGACACAAACGGAGGGGCGATGAATCTCTCTCGATTGCGGCTTGCGTCGTCGGATGATTTTAGTCTCCTCTGCAGTTAATCATTTGATTTAAGCAGCTGGACTTTAGCACACGTGAAGTCATCGGTTTCGAAATCGGCTCCAGGCGGTATTTTGTGATACTTTTCAACGTTATGTTGTCTGCACCGTTCGGCTTACACTGCAGCGCAGATGCTCTCAACGGCGGCCGGTCAAGTGAGGGATCGGTTCAGCTCCGTACGAGCTCTCTGGAAATGTTGAGGGCACGAGTTTTGTGTTCCCACCTTATGTAGACGAATGTGTTCTACAGTGGCATTTCTGAGTAGGAGTGGTGATTGGTTATAGCGAGCGAGGGAGCCATGAATGCAAGTGAATGATTAACTCGCAGGCTGATAGTAGGGACGTAAGGTACGTAGTTCATGCTGATGTTTGACGTGTTGGCAAGCTGCAACAAATGTGGTCTTCATGTCTGGTTGCGACATATCAGTGTTCGTCATGATTATAATCAGCAATGTCCCGAAAACACGTATTTGTAAAGCATCCCTGAGACACTAGATGGTAAGCTCCATAAGATGCCACCACTTCAGTGAATGACAATGGCTAACGAAGCCATTTTAAAGGCTATGACACTGGCTCCAAGGGAAACGTTTATCCTTCACTTAGTCAAAAAATACGAGGACAGTTGCTATTATCATGTGATTTAACAACCCAGCATGGATCATTCGCAAGAGTTAGGCCATTGTGGCGAGATTTTAACTGCCTCGCCTGGTATATAAGGACTTCGTGGGTTCGATCCCGACCCTGACGCCTATATACTTGGAGTTTGCGTGTCTCTCTCTCCCCGTGGTGGCGTTGATTTGTCTCCGGGTCCTCCGGTTTTCCCCTCCACATTTATAAACAAGCGTTGAGATTATTTGGCTGCGATAAATTACCACGTGACAAGCCACTATGTTGAGCTATCATTTGTGGCCAGGTCGCTTTCAAAAAATAACTACATAGCTCAGTGGGCCTTACCTGGTAATATTAAAACGTATATTTTAATAGTTTGTGTGCCAGTATCTTGGTCCAAACTTGCCAAATGTGTAAAAAGAGAAACAACAAATTCCTCAGTGCGAACAAACGTGGCAATGAAAAACACTTGGCAGCACCCTCTTGAAAAATAAGTCGCGAGACTCACCGAGGCTTGCCCGGCTAAAACCCATTATAGGGCACACCGTTGGTATTGTTCATACGGTCATTGTACATTAAACGGCGTTCGCATGGTAGGCAGCAGAGTACAGCGGGGAAAAAATGTTGTACTGCACTGCTATACTCCCACATCTATGTTCCCCCCACCTTTAACCCACAGCGACCATCATGGTTCACTACGTATGGTCGAATCACCTCCACAACGCGGTGTGGGACGGCCCTCGTCCAACGTGCAGTCAATGTACACAGTGACACATGGACAGGAATGATTATAAGCTGTGCTCATGTTCGTCCAGCACCGGGCAAACTAACCAAAGCGTGAGTTATCGCTGAGGAATCATACCCCAGCGCTGCTGTGAACTCAAAGAGTCTCGGGTCTCAACGCACCAGGCGTCAGGATACGCAGCGCAAAGGTCCTCCCATTTCAGTAGCATAGGCTGATGGTGTTTGTCTTGCTCCGTTAGCCCTAGTTGGCAAGATAGGCTACGAGGTGGCAGACCCAGCCCAGGGTTTAAAGGTTGACGATAGTTAAAAAAAAAACTCAGCCACGGCTCTACGGTGTGGTTCGATGCTTCCTTCTTGGCTTGATTTTAGTGTGGGGGTCGTGGCTCGCTCCACATTAGCCGATCCGCTGCAGCCGTAAAAGCACCGTGAAGGGTTACACGTTTAATCTGTGGTCCAATTGACAATCGCAAATGCTGACAGTTCCTTTAGAGCAGGGATCCACAACCCCCGGGCCGCGGACCGGTACCGGTCCGTGGCCTGTTAGGAACCGGGCCGCACAGCAGGAGGAGGTGAGAGCGGTGAGTCCGCACGTGGCCCGCCCCCCATTATTTTATTTACAACTTCTATCCGCGCCTCTTTCCCGCACTGCGCACTTGTCTCAGTCACAGTGTTGGTATAAAGCCCACAAGCTAACCCCTAGTAGCCACAATGAGTAAAAAACAAACGTTGCTGGAGAGCTTCTTTGAAAAGGGGTCCGTGAAAAAATTGTCTTCCACGAAACCGGTCCCTGGTGCCAAAAAGGTTGGGGACCGCTGCTTTAGAGGGTATCACAAGCAATGCCATCGTAATGACAATGGGGCCTGTATGCGGTGTGAAGGGACTAGTGGCCACGGGAGGTAATGACAGGTAAGGTCAGCCTGCAGTACGAATGCACTGGTGGTGGCCACTGGAGGTAATGACGGGGGAGTCAGTTGTGAGTGCGAAGGGACTGGTGGCTACGGGAATGTTCGAGAAGGGGGCGTGGTCAGGTGGCGGAAGAGGACGGTGGAGTCTGCTGGTGGAGCGAGCGTCCAGAGTGAGCGAGAAGGTTCGAGAAGAGGGGCGTGGCCTCGTGTCGGTATTTAAGATGCGCGGGAGACTCGGGGCTGTTGCAGTGGGGGTCTCCGCATGTCAAGCGATCGCGTCTTCAATAAAGTGCCATCTCAAGAGAATTGTCAAGTCGTCATTATTACATAATTATCTGGCCGTAGCTGCAGATGAGGGCATTGTGGCATTGCCGACATTCGACTGAATTTAAAATATATATTTATACAAAAAAGCACGTACAATAACATGAGTACGTGTTAAAATATAATGCACAGAGCCGTTGATTCGCACGTGTATGTTGAACTTATTTCGCACCGTACATAGCTAATCGGAGGTGGTGGGGGAAGGACAACAAATTAAACACAAAACTGTTCAATAAAAATGTAGTTTCCAATCTAAACACAAGTTGCAACACCATTGAATGTTTAAATTGATATATTTGGTTCCCATTGTATACGCAGGCTGCTTCAAAAAAATGTTAACACTTATATAGGACTATCGTTTTTAATGGGAAAGAATGGATAATACACTGCAACATAACAAATGTATGTTAATAGCTTTAAAAAGTCAGTCTCCACTTGTTCGCCATCATTGTCAACACATTGCCTGGAATCTTCCCCAGGTGGTCTCCAGAGGCCGGAGGCAGCAGCACATGCCACGTGGTGTTGTTGCAAATTCTCAGAAGTGTTAACATTTTCTTGAAGCCCCCTGTACATCTGAACAGGATGTTGTTTGTAAGTGCCGCTTGGCAAAAAAAAACTCGTGTGAACGGATAATACACTGCAACATAACAAATGTAAAACTCGTGTTTTTTTTCCCAGTGCTATTTTCATTTCATGGTGCAAAAAGTTCAAGCCGACTTGTTTGTGGCATTAACTGGCGTGACTCAAGGCTGTTAACTTTTTGTGGACAGAGACTAAGGCGCAACCTTTAGCACAGTAGCATCAACACCGCCCATTCTCGAGAATATCGAACAAATTTAACACTAAAATAAAAAGCAGCATTGTAAACCTTGCAGCCAGTGTGCTGCATACGCGGTACTTGAAGAACGCGGCTTTTAAAAATAGCAAAAGAACATTGTCCGGCGGCAAAGCACTGCAATCTGGGTAAAGTTCATTTTCAAAGTCTAACAACTTCATTAGCTGCAGAGGCTCTCCGTCTCTTAAAAGTAATTTCATGCTATTACGAATAACATTCGCAAAATAACATTGTCATTAACACAAAGACCTTTATTTTACCTATAGAACGTTTTGACTTAGATTTACAATGTTTTCCCCACAGGTATAATAAAATATACACAAATGCAGTAAGTTATGTTTTTTTGTATAATTAATGCGCAATACAATTAACATTTTAATGCGTGTTGTGCCTTCACATTTTGAAATGCCAAATAGGAAAATATGCCATCTGGAAGGGAATGCCAAAGGGCGTCATGAATAGAGCGAGAAACCACCAGCACCAGACGTACAGAGACGAGTGTCATCTTAAAAACCCACGTTTATTCAGAAACACTCAGTACTGCAAACAAATAAATCCAATGCGGTATATATGTATACAAAAAAAATACCTCCAAGGTTTCATTCTTTTAAAAAGTGAAATATACATCGCATGATATCTGGACACAAACAGTTAATCATATTGCTCTGGCTTAAGTAACACAACACTCATGCAAGCAAACTTATTTATTTGTTGGCAACCTTCTGGAAAGAACTACAGAGCGACATGCATTTAGGTTTAGCTGCAAGATGAATTAAATGTTTATGGACTTACACGGCATGCAGCACACTAGTTGCATACACAATAACCACACCTAATATGCTTCTTTAGGCACACAAAGAGTGGCCCAGGGATCTTTAAATTGCATTCTCCAAAACCTTAAGCATTGTACATTGTTTCGGGATAGTTTGTCCAATCTTAGTTTTCATGTACATTACTTTCAAATTGAAATACAACTGTGACATGGACGCGAGAAAATGTCATTGTTAAATAATACAGCTGCACTGTTTCCCAGTTACTTTGAAACAAAAAGGTGGTAATGATATTCATGAATATGACGTTTTGAAGACTAATTATTATGCATCGATTCCAACCGAGACATTAACTATTTCAATTTACATGCAGACTATAAATTAGCCAAAGCATGCAATCTTTTTTTTGTTACTTCCAAAAAATAATTTAACAATGTCAAAAGTTTAATTGGAAATGTGAAGAGAATGGAGTAGCAGCATGCAATAAACTTTGTCTGTGCAGAATATACAACACGAATGCCATCTCATCTGGTCTTCGACTGAGACAGTGGCCAAGGGTGGTGTGTTAATATTGAGATTCATTAAGACCCGATAAAGATATTTAACCACCATAATTTCCTCTGAGTATTGCGCCAAAACGTGTATAATCTCCCAAACTAGACAATCCAAAATTACGCTCAGGCTTACAATAACAGATTTTGGATACTCAAGCCTTAGTGATTAAACGAAGGTGAAAAGACCAATTTGTGCCCAGGCAAGAAACATTTCCTGGAGATGTGACGTCACTCCTTGACATTCGCCGTTTTCTTGCTGGGGAACTCCCAGGTGGTCTCCTTGGCGCACTTCCACATGGCATCCACCAGGCGCGTAAAGCCCATATCCTTGGGTTTCTCCAGTCCTCGCATCAAGCGCTGCTTCATGATCGACACAAACTCCTTGTTGCTGAGCTCGCCATTTCCTGCGAGCGACAGGCACGTGCAAGGGAGGAGAAGACGCATTCGTACACGAGTCTCGTATTATTCAAAGCATTTGGGACACACAGAAATTATTAGTCGTAGCCGGAGTAGGGGATAGTCTTTGACTCGAACCGGAGATTGATAAGAGGTTTTTCTTAAGTATATGGATTGCTTTCCATATGCATAAAGTAACTGATATCACAATAAGGAGAACAAGTTAGATGCCGTTCTGTACCTTGTCAGAGCGTTACTTAATGCATTCCGTTGTAAAAAAAAAAAAACTGTTAAGGATGGCAGTGTGTGGTTTGAAAAGAACGTAAATTATTCTGCAGCGACCTCTGTAAGGTGAGCACTATGAATAACACTCGATATATGATCCTTTGAAGAAAACACCCTACAATGGTAAACATGTACTCTCCAAGAAAACGCATTCATGGATTGCCCTGACTGCCAAAGAACCACCCTACCGTTTTTGCAGCGGAAATATGTTTTTTATCCTAATGAGAAGTAAATATTGCCACAGGAGCTTATCCAAGGCTTAAGTGGATATTGTTGAGGAGCGGATTTGTAAGCAAATGATTGACGGTTCTTTTAAAATGCTCAGAAACATCATGCATTGCATGCGGGTGCCAAGTGTCGGTTTACCACCAGAAATGATGCACCTGTTGGTTAAGTCAACATTACTGTGACGCTAAGTACCAGAACATTATCCTGAAGCTAGGCCAGCTGCTCAGTAGTCTATTCAAGAGCAAAACAAAAGGCATGGGTTGAAGAGTTCAGTTGGTTAGACGGTTATTGTTCAGTGAGATTAGGTGGCTTTTTATCAATCTGAACATGGTACCAGACATGTCTTAAATACATACAGACTGCACATGCATTGTTTGTTGTTGTAACTTTTTTTACCTGCCCCTACTGGACATCTGTGAAAAAGTGCTTCATAGCTCATCGGACTTCTCCAGAATGAATACACAAATGTTCAGATTCTGACATGTAGTGAGCTCTTATCAGAGAAAAGACAAAATGTTCCTTGCACATAGCTCCCAGGAGAAATGTACCAGAGTAAAGGATGATTTAAGATTGCCATTCAAATGCAGCGTTTATCTGACTTCAAGCAACTCGCGTTTAGACCGTTTACTTTGCATTTAATAAACTGGCACATTTAGTGCATTTGAGCAGGTCTGTCAAGTGGGCTGAACATAATAAGATGGGGATGACACTCACCATCGCAGTCGAAGAGGGTGTACACTACGTCGCACACGTGGTCGGATAACTCCACTTTAGCCACAGTCCGTGCCACCTGCTGCATCGTGGCTGCAAACATAGATTAAATTAATGCAAAGTTCTTCACAACAACCACGAGTGGGCATTCCATCCTACGGAACACTGCCTGCAGATGGGGTGGCATGATACACTACACCACAAATGTATTATTTTTGATTAGCGAGGAACGCTTTCTCGTGACTATTTTCAGGAAAGTCTTGCCAAGTGTCAGTCAGGGGAAATGACTGCCACGTCTATTGCCCGTCAGTGACATGAGGAACATTTCTAATTTTAACGACACGACGCCGGCACACAATAGCTTACTCTTGCAAGTCACATTTCAGAATATTTAACAGCAACTGTGTAGCAGTGGGTGCATATGCTTATGGTAAATACACCCACAGCCACGGTGTCGAGATGTTAACTCCCCTGCTTGGTATACAGGAGTTCGTGGGTTCAATCCCAACCCTGACGCTTGTTGAATATTTGGAGTTTGCGTGTTTTCCCCGTGGCCGCATGGATTTTTCTCCGGGTCCTCCGGTTTTTCCCTCCACATTTTGAATCAACATGCGTTTAGAGTAATTGGCTGCTATACATTTCCTAATGATGAGCCACTTCGTTGAGATTTCACTTGTGGCTAAGGTGGCTTCTGAAAAATAGCTATATGGCTCGGTGACCTTTACCCGGTAAAATAAAAAAAAAGTTTTCATCGTTTAGTTTTATAGGCAACTTCACATTAGCCACACACATGGTAATAGAAGCTAGAACACCATAGTTACTAGGCGAGTAATGAGATTTTATATTTTTTTTGAATCCAGCCATTGATTCACGAATCCAATTTGTTGGTCCAATTTTAGTGTCTTGTTGGTATTGTTCAATAATTTGTTTTGGCTTTTAGACATTTCTAGGCAATTTGCAGTAAATATTAGCCAATATATTCTTATAAGCATGATTTGATGCATGTCTAAAATATAAAATTTTAAGCTTTATTTTGAGTCTTTGATACTTGCACACTTTCCAACGGATGAATTGCTTGGGAAATTCCCGGTAGGACTTCCCGGGTAGTGGAAACGGAACAATCAAATCCACGCAGAGCGGGCGAGCGCGTTGACTAGCGTGCGAGCCAGGAGAATCAAAGTCACGGGCTGCACGGCGGGATTATATATTGCCGTATGAATTCACCCAAACACCTGTGATGCTAAGCCTTATTGAAACACAATTTTGTACTTTATCCAAGGTGAATTAATGGACTTAGGCTGAACAAAAGAACTGCATATCCACACTGATGGAATAAGTCACCCGGCAGACAGGCACGGCCCATGCAAGTGTAATGTTAATCCAAAATAAGATCAGATTAAAGCAACATCCCCCCCCACCCCCTTTCGGCCAATGTATACAAAAGTACCGCATTCATTCTACTGTAACGATATCAGCCAAATTCCTGTGGCATTCAATTATCCCCAGAACATGAATTAATCAGTGCCGAATCTGCTATGCATGCTATTCCAATTATGATCGTGTTGTAGGCTCGACTGGTTATTTGGTGAATGTCGTATACACATTATGTTCCACATGGAGCAGTGTTATTTTAAAACACGACATCTTGAACGGGTAACTCACACTTATCAATGGATGCTCCAGCCATGTGGTAGAATGTTAAGGCTGTGTCCACATCATTGATGTTCTTCAGAAACGTGAAGAAGTTCTGAACTTCCTCGAAAGTGATTCCCTGAGAAAAACACATAAAAAAATGACTTGTAGGCTTCGAAATATCAACCATTGCTCGGGCATGTGGTACTGCGAGGGTGAAACTGGAACATTGCTTCCATCACACTCATGATGCTAGCCTGGTGAGTCACACGTACAGCCGGAGGATTTCAGTAATATTGAAAAAAACATTACTCTTGTCAACAAAACTTAGTGTGTGTCTTTGAAATCTGGCTGTTGTACAAGTTAAACAATGGCAATAATATTCAAAACATCATTAACAAGAGTAATGCATCACTTATTTAAATATACAAAAGCAAACCGTAATGTTCACACCTCCTTTTCAAGTCATAGTATTCTCATCTATCGTGCCATAACCAAATATACGAGGACCTCCTGCATCTAATCGTATGCCTAGCATTTACATTTCTCAAGGCAAATGCACAATTCTCCGTTTGTAGACCATATTCCCTTGTCATTTTAACTCAACGTGACAAAAACCAAATAACGTTTGTGCAGTATATTCAAACAGAACAGCGTACCAAAATGTAGCGAGAAATATCAGTTGTGCCCCATCGCTGTACCACGAAGCATATATTCAATGACAATGTAATCTTACCGGCCCATCTTTAAACTCCTTCTTGACGTGCTTGAGCATGTGTGTGAGTTTTTTGGACTTGACCCCACTGTAGGCCAAGAGCATGTTTCCAAATCGTCTCTCCGAAATGTGCCCATCCACGGGATCTTGTCTCTCAAACTGACGGAATACAATCGCCGACGTGCACATTTCATTCTACAGTGGGCACACTGAAGTGGTAGGTCATCTTTGAAATGTCAAAACGAGAAGGCTAGCATGTTTTGTTACGAGGCCATTAGTATTGCTCCAGAGAGAAACTTACACTTTTGGAATCTGTAACGAGTTATTTATCCCTGTATATTGAATTTAAGATATGCAGGAATGGCATGCCAACACCGCATGTTGCATACTGTACAAGTGAATTGTTTTAACAATCGCACGTTTTTACATCAATAAAATACAAAACATTAATCAATGACGAAAACAGGTTTAGCTTGCAAAAGTAGACCTTGAGTGTCATTTACAACAACCATTAACCATGCAGAATTTCAATTTCCAACTTGTAATAAGAAATCACCACGTGCACAAGAGATTACCGTTCCCAATGAATAGGTTTAAGACATCGAATTATAAGTTTCTCCTGCATGTTTAAAATGTCAGTATTGTAAACGACTTAAAGTTTTACATTATTTATCTTGGTTACACTTAAGTTTCTTTTGGTACATATACAACCACTTATAGACACAAAGGGGAGAGGGGTGGTGAATTGGTTAGAGCACTCCACTTTGAATACGTTTGACCCGAGTTTGATTCATGGCCATGGCTAATATCAGCAGTGAGTGACATCTGAAGCGGTCCTTGCACTCCTGGTGTTCTCAAGTCTTCACCATATATGGTCAAACAATCCTTATGACCTACATGGGACACAGAGCTGTAGCAAAGCATAGCTAGGAAATGTAAACAGCAACGGGAAGACCAGACTTGGGTTTACGAGCAGCTACGCGAACCTACGTGCTAAAATTATCCAAATTGCTGGAGTGGCAATATGTATTGGCTATGCTCGTTCGCTCGGTTTCTACCCGACGACAGCAACACACTTCCAGTTTGAGGATGTCGCGTTGGAGACGGCGTTGGAACTGCAGGAACTTGTCTATGGTGAGCTTCCCGTGGAGATCCTCGCCAAAGAAGAAGGTGGTCAGTGCAGAGTTGAAGCCAGACTTGAGCGTGTTTCCCGTGGTGGAGCGATCGCGGTGCCTCATGCCCATGCTCGTTTGCGAGCGCACAATGCTCTGCACCTGCGGAGGGAGGATTGAAGAGGGAAGCGAGACGTTATATGTCCCGTGTGTACGTTGAACTTCTTTTCGCACCATGCATAGGGTAACCGTGCTAAATTGGAGGTGTGGGAAAAAAAAATTAGGTGTGAAAAAATGAAGGAGGGCTCCGTCTTCAAGACATGAGTATTTTTTTTAGAACCTAACATTTATATTTATTTTTTTGTTTTAAGCACCAACTTCTCTGCTTGTGCACGTGTGCACAGGTTGTATAATAAGTAAAGTCCATACAGTTTTGGTGATTTACAATATGGGGAGTGGTGTCATTTCTTTGGCACACTTAGTTACGAATCTGGTGACCCAAGTTCGATTTATACCGCCTTAGCTAACATTAGTGCGAGCAATATTTGAATCTGTCCTTGCCCCACCGCCCATCTTCACGAACCTCTCAACGGACCGGTGAGGTGAAGTATAGTCAAGTAATCCCCATGACCAACGTAGAGTGGGAAGGCCTTCATTCCACAATAGACTGGCAATTGTGTTGCACAATGATTTAGATTTATAGAGCATCCAAATATAACCGTATGTCAAAGTGCTGTACAAAACAGTCGGACATGGGTGGGGGGGGGGCATCGTGGAAAGGAGGCAATTTTCTTTCTACAGAGAAAGTCATAGGCAGAGGAAAAGGAGTTCTGGAGCTGGCCTTGAATTGGAAGTCTACAGCAATGATGGCTGGCTGCTACTTGCCGACACCGAGGTTGACTTATTGATCTTAAAATATGTGATGCATTAAAAATCAACGCACAGTGTGTGCAAGTCGGGTTCGTGGAGGGACATTTAAGCCTGACGGATTGCCCCGTCTTGGTGAAACCAATGGCAAAAGGGGCACAAGAGAGAGTGCGCAATCAACCGTGCTTAAATAACCCTCCGCCAACATCAGCATTGCACCCACTCATTTTAAGAGTTGCTAAGGTCTATATTGCCGTCAACAGATCACTGTTGAATAAGCAAGTCGGCGAATATTTTAAGATACACGCTCGAAAAGGTTATATTCTCTAGATGGTACCAATCAAGTATAACCCACTCATTTATTTAGTTGCCGAGCCTTGTGTTTGAATACAATATAGCGGAGATAGTTTGAGTCGAGGATACGACGTATATGAAATACAAGTATGCCACTAGGCATGTATAATACTGGTCGACCTTATTTGCAACTAATTCTTAATGTATGCCATTTTGCATGGAAATTATGGGAATTCTTGACAGCTTCATCGTACCTTTTTGTCCTATGAATTGATGTAATTCTAAATCATGATACAAACATTGGGTTTGTCTTTTTGTTGTTGTTGCATTCCTTTGTATTGCCGGGTACCTGCCTGGACAAGTCTGACATTTCTTGTATCCCCCACAAATTGCAAACCCAAAAGGCACTCGTACACATCACGATTCATCAAATATTATGCCAATACCGTATTTTCCCCCATGAAACCCGAGCAGAAATTTCTGACAAGAATTCACAATTGGGAATTCCATTGACCACATGAACCACAAAGAATTAAGTTTGTGCCGGCAGCGCATTAAATCTTTATCAAGGACACTAAAATATCAATAACACAAATAATAAAAGTCACTAGCTTTGGACTATTGTAGCCATGAGTGGCTAGGCTATATATATCTATCTATCCATAACATACAAGCTTCATGAGAGATGGAGTTACAATTTTCCGCTCTGAGCCACATTTCAACTAAAATCCCAAGAGATGCTGCCACGGGTGCTCCGATATGCAGGCTTAGCCTACCAAATCACTCTGAAGATGCAGTTATTATCACACACACATTTCTACAATGCAGTGAATATTGTTTTACAGCTTTATACTCGCAATGTTAAACCAAAAATTATCATTAATGCAAGTAGTCCACTTACTCTTTCAAATTCTTCAAGGTCCACCTCTCCATCCCCATTGAGGTCAAACATTTTAAATGCAATTTCAAAATTCCTCTGTGGAGCTGTGGAAAGGGGGAGAAAAATAATTATGCCAATTCAGTGTATTTAAAAGCGACCTCTTGTTTTGCATATCATTCTGAAAAAGGGATTATTTTTATATTCTTTTACACAGTAATGATGTGCAAGGTTATATCACTTGTTTTTTGCCACACATCAGCATGAAAATAGCGCTGAAACGTTTGTAAAACTGTCAAGCGTGCTTTTTGCTTGTTTGTTAAAGATCTAAAGTGATTGACTTACTGGACAAAACAGTTGTTAGGAAGATGTAGTCTGAAAAAGAGATCAGGCCACATTCCCCCAGCACATGGAAAATGCTGTCTTCATCCGCAAACATCTCCCGTTCGTGAGCCAGTTTCTGAAGCAGGCATCACACAACACCCATTAATCTGCCACCGTCGAAAAGCAGTGCTAACACAAGGAAGCACGGCTGTTCCATCAACGCACGACCTGCGAGCATTTAAGGTCAACCCGTCCCGTGGGATGCACACTTAAGAGAATGAAAAACCCTGAAACATGCACGCTGTTTGCCTCTCTGATTGAATGTGCAGCGAGGTATATAATCTGGATGTGGTGGGTGTGAGCGAACAAAGATTGTGTCATACAAACCTGTTGTCTCCAACAACAAGATCAATCTAAATGGCCAGTAAGTGACTAAATGAAGTCATGTTGGTTACAGTGGTTCCTCACTAATATGAGACAGCTGCTTTCACAAGCCCGCGCGTAATCCAAAACACGACATTGCAAACGGCTCTCCGATGTGTTTTCAGGTTGTAGCACGGTCTTGTTCGGGCATGATGTCCGAGGTTTCGCCTCCGCATGCCGGGAGCTTTATGCAGGAACTGAAGAGAACGTCGGAGATCATGCCGAATGCGCAGTACAACCCGGCAACCCACCGGGAGAGCTTTTATAAGCACAAGCGCAGAATCCTACGCAAGAGGTGAATGAGCGTTGGCAAATGTGTAAAATGTCTTATTGCCGTTCTCCCTTAACGTTGTCATGAAGCATCAGTTTACGATCAGCCACCTATATCAAAATGTTACCTTATTTCTTGAACGTTGTTGGCCAGCCTGAAATATAGGATACATGCCTTTAGCGCCTCGCAAAGCCATCAGATGCTTTACCATTCGTCTGTATTATGTATATTATATAAAAAAAAGAACCTCTCCTAGTCTCAACCTTTAAGCTGTTTATATATACTGAAATATTGTAGTTGGTAAGGCATCTTACAAAAATGCCTGCCAATGATTTTTTTTCCATAAATCCTGTATGTATGAATATATACTAAGCGTATATACATATATAGTCCCAACATGCAAGCACCGTAGAGTGTATGCCTTTGAAATAATGTTTTATGATAGACTTACTGACCAGATATAAATCCCAGAGAAGTCATGCAAAGGACACCGCTGGGAGAAAAAAAGATAATCTTGTCTTGTGCCACAAGATGAAAATATTGTGGACACACTAAAAATAAAACTAATTATATTTCAGCCAGAGCTCTCCAGCTACCTGTCGGTACAAACGTATGTGCGTTTCCAAAACCCAGGCAGCAACTGCCTACCAAAACCTAAATATCCAGGCAGTTTTTGAACACGCATAAGCATTCCTCACTGAGAATGTAAAATGATGACCGAGGAAGATGCATTGACAAGTACGGTAAAAACCTTCTTGAAGGTAGCTTGCTATTTTAACCACAAAAACTAAATGCACATCCTGGTGAGATACACTTTGACAACACTTTAGAAGTAAAATCTCGAATAGGGTATGTATTCAAATCCATGTCAGTGCAATCTTCGTGAATGCAGCCCAATCAAGCGTGTAGGAGACGTTGTGAAGCATTCTTGAAAGTGGTCTATTTGAACATTTTTGCAATAAATGTTTTACAAAGGCCTCTCACACTCGAGAGGACGAAGTTGATGATGGAGTCGACTCGTGGCAGACGGCTAAATAAATGCATTCACATTTCGTAACGTTGAGAGCATGCTCTGTGCATAATTAAATAAGCAGGGGGGGGGGGGGGCAGCCACTTCTCATTGTAATAATAAATGGGATGAGGCTCAGACGGACAAATATCACTCTACTGGAGATATGTGCATATAGAATAATGATTATGAAGCATTATGAAAAAATATATATAAAACAATAAGGATAACCATCGTGTGCTATTTGAAATTCTGTATCCAACATTTGTAAACTAATCCCACTCAATACAAACCACTACCAAAGTCTATAATATTTCTCAGGGATTATTTCTCAGGGATCATTTAACCCATGGCTACTGGTGTGCAAAACCTCAAGACACCCCTGATAAGAGCAGACCATCGTGCAAACTGTTCGTTACATTAGTTTAACAAGGGAGACTCTTTTACAGAGAATTCCTTCGCGACATCATGGAGCCATCCAAAACAAAGTCAATAACCAGACATCTGCGTGGACACCGAGCCACCATCATGCAGTGTGGTCATCCTGCATTCCAAGTGCTCGTAAATTCCTGTGCAATTCTTATGCACTATTACTCTTGCACAGTCAAGGTGCATGAAGCATGTTTTTCACAGGAGTGGCAAGACAGGTGTGCCACATTGGAAAATCAAATAAAACAAAAACATAGCCATCAAAAACAGAATATATAATTCTTGTAGAATGTCATTTCCCTCCATTCCTTATCATCTCAGGTTGCATTATCACAACTTGTTATTTATAGTTATGCAACTGCGAGATGATTAATAGCAAATAGCATTGAACAGCAGGGAAATAATTCATCAGGAGGTCAGTTTTTCTCAATACACAATGCGCGGATATACGCGTTCCAGCACAAACAATGGTGCAGGAACAGAGCTTTTAAAAATAAGTCCTGGCATTTTGGGAAAAAGATAACGAGCAATACACAACACTGTCACTTGTCATTCACCAGTTTCCTGTTGATGCCGTCGCAATGTATATCTCCCAGAACGCATTTGAAGCCACAAAAAATCATCACAAGTCTGTTTCAGTAAATATTTCGGCCGAATGAAAATATATTGTTGTGGCGGCATAAAACACCGCCCGGGCCTTAAATAATGTATACTGTGCCCATTTGCGTGAGAGCACACACGCGTGTGTGTGGGCAAAAAAACATCCAAAATGTTCAAACTAGTCTAATAAGGAGCACACTGAATTATGTCGCTGTAATGACACGGGTGGTGAAGAACACTACAGGGGGCTCTTCTTCACTTGTAAACAAGACACGCTACAAGAGCACATCATTCATCCTCGTATTACACCAGAGGGGGGCACAATAACCTCAAAAATATCCAAGCATCTCTCTGCAGTTGATTCGCGTATAAATCCACTACCGCTTTTGGTTTTTTGCAGTTGCACGATTTGCCATTATTTTAAATGTTCGTCAATGCAATTTTACATATTATCATCTGGGGGTTTTCGGTCTTCCACTAGAATTGGGGCCGATCAAGATGACACCGACCACACACTGTTCTGGTTGAACGCACACGTCTGATACAAGTTATGAAAATAAATAAAAATCGTGACATTTTTAAAGCAATTTCGAAATTAAGTTCAGGGCAATTGCTGCTCACCCATATACAATCCATGATTAATAACACAAATGCAATATATGAAGTGTTCTGAATTTAGTTTAACGTATCAATATTTTATGTTAACACACTGTATGCAATTTATCAGTCCTACCCAATTGGAAATGTATTGGACGATCGTTTGGATTGTTTTTAAACATAAGCACTACAGAACATGTCAAATAGGATTAATGTTTAATTTAATAAATCGGCCAATGTTTTAGTTTTTGCAATTTATACTGTACCACTCCACTTAAATAATACCCCCGTTAATTAAGCACAGAACGTTTCAACATACATTTAATTCAATATTTGCACAATGTTTTCCTTTTTAATGAACACATGGTATGCTGCTTTAATCTTCTGAATCTTCTGTGGCGTTTTGTGGTCAGGCACATTGGTCCTTTAAGATCAATAACTACTTCCGTGTGAATGGAGCCCATCACTCGCAAAGCACATCAATCTGGTAAGCATGAGCAGTTTTGCTGAATATCTTTGCGAACGCACAAGATCATAGAACACATTTAATGTGAAATTTCACGAATGTAATTTTTCCTTCCCCCACCCTACCCCACCATAAATGTAATGCCATTAGGAGCCTAGTTAGCTGCATACATGCCATTTTCACCAGAACATGCCACCCACGCACCGTGCAAATATAATTATGCCACCAGCGCAATACACGGTTTGCACAGTTCTTTCAAAGCATTTTGACAAAAAAAGCCATAGTAATCTATTTTAACGTAGCACAACACAATAATAGCAATGCGGAGCAAGAGGATGAAAAATACCTGCATACGTATTAAAGCACTGCAGGATTCATGACGGTTATTTAAAGATGTGAAAAAAATGCAGCCAATCGTTTTCTTAACTACTGTAACTATAATAACACGACCACCTACAGTGATACCATCCAGTTTTTAGTTTTTAAACTCACGAGCTTTAATGTAAGAGTAGTACCGTATTTATTTTACATAAATTGTACATAATGGATTCTTCCAAAAAATATTCGATGCACATTACACGAGCCTAAGAATGAAGGTAATTAATTAATTTGTCACTAACATGCCCAGTTAAAATATTGATTACATTAACTATACATTTATACATGTATACACTTAAAAGAACGTCTGGTCTCGACTAACATCGTTTTACGTTATAATTTTCACCGCTCGTTTTTTGTCAGCAAAGACTAATACACTTAATTTCATAATTGGTGTGTAATCTGTGCACTTGATACAATTACTGTGAATTCAATAAAATACTGGAGGAATAAAAAAAAACCCTAGAAGCCTATTCTATTTTTGACAGTGGGAGTTATTTCTGCAATTATGAGTCAGTATTATATAGAAGCCAGCCAGCCAGCCACCTGGTCTCAATCTGTCAATATTTGTCCCAACACCCACGCGGTTGCAAAGATGGCAGATCCTTCCTGTGTTCATTATTGCGGAGCTTTGTAGCTTGCATGAATGTATGCATGCACGTGTATTGCCAGTGCTTCAATTGTAATCTTAAACCATTTTACACCACTGAAACCATATATCCTGTACGGTTAGCCACCGTCTTTTGTTTATTTACTGCATGCACCCGTAATTGATTGCGTTGTATGTTTAGGTCTCTGACAGTTCCAAAAATAAAAAAAAAACAGAATGTGTGGTGTGTGCTGGAACCAAAACGGTTAGATAAAATTCAATAGCAGCAATATAACACTGAAGGAAAAAAAAACCGGACCGTATTGTGGAATGAATAGACCACTCGGTTGAAAGCAAGACCTTGATGCTACTTGAAGGTCAAAAGCGGTTTCCCACCCACACCCACCATGAACAATGAATGAAAATACAAAGCACATTTCTCAGAGGAAATAAACATTTAACTACATTCACCAGGCATTCTGACAAACACTTTGTTTTAAAAAGCTAAAAATTTATATTTTAAAAAGGCATCCACTGTTCGTTTTGCCACAGTACTTGTCGTTTACTTAATATATTAAAAGGCACGATATTGAAAAAGGCATTTACCAGAAGAGAATTCGGCGATCAAGTAAACCAAATTCATTGAACATTTCCGGATATCAATGGAAAGTCATAACGTATTGACAGTACACCCCAGTGGGATACTCAATTGTGCATGAGGTGTGTACCATAGCTGCCACACAACTCAACAATTTTAGGCAGCCAAGTATAGCTGAGAAAGTTTTTTTCCCCTAAGGTTACAATACAGCGAGTTTTCGTGAGATATGTTTAACTTCTTTCGCACCGCAGGGAGTCAACCGTGCGAATCGGAGGTGCGGGATGGGATGGGTTGGTTCCATTATATATGCCGAATTTTCAACCCCGTATTGCTGAAATACCATACACGTGGCCAATATCAAAACTATTACTAAAATCATTTTACCAGGTAAGGCCCCACTGAGCAATACAGCTCTTATTTAGGAGACCTGGCCACAAATGAAAGCTCAACGAAGTGGTTTATCACGTGGGCATTTATAGCAGCCACAT